GAGACACTTAACTGCATCATATTATATAGTAACAGTGAATTGCAGTCTGTTTGAAGCTCTTAACATTGTAGACCCTGACATGAAATACATTTTGTTTTTTTAAATGGAACAGTTTATTGAACCTGTTACGTGCTTAAAGCTGCAGTCCGGCATTTTTCCTCTTTGTCGCCATCTCTGTTTGAAATCTGCAATTGCAGTCATTCACGGAATTATCAACTTTACGTGAGTTGTACTTCAACACCCTTGACACGGCACAGCGCGGATGAACACAGTGTTTGAGGAGAGTGTGCTGTGCAGCTGTCAGTCACCGCGCTGATGTGGAGACTGGCATTCAGAATCACAGATTATTCTTTTTGGAAGTATGACCAAGATTAGAATTTTCACCGGAAAATGTCATCTGAACTAGTAAGAAACATCCACTTTTGTTCTGGTTCTGACATTGCAGTAAATCGCGCTGATTAAATCTAACAATCGCTTATAAGTTATCATATCACGCAAAACCGTGCAAATTATACTTTGTTCTCAAATTGTTAATGTTAACAACGTCAGCATTGCGTGACTACATGTAATGTCCTTCCGATATGTATCCTTGTTTTCGCATGGGTCCGGTTGCAGTCTCTCTTTTTCTGTAGCCACTCCGAAGCCCGAACGAAGTCTTTTGCATTTTACAGCGCGTGAATCTGTTGTCACTGGTGATTGTCATTTGAACCTTTCTGGATCCGCCATCAAATTGCTAAGTTTAATTATATCAAGTGCTGTGAGAAAAGGCTAAATCTCCACCTCCAGCATCCTCACACGCAATATAGCCTACTAGCCGAGACTCCTTCTTTATGTGTACAGATGTGACGTAATGACGCAAAGACATGCTCGAATCTCCCGCGGAAATCCACCAGTACCACTGGAATTAAAAACATTATTACAAGCTTACCGCTTTGAATCGAGCTAAGGCAAGCAGATAGTTTTGAACACTGGCAAACAGAAACAAATATAAATTAAACTAAACCGAGTGGCTTGTTACAACCCATCACGTCTTTCCTGGTCTACCAGCGTGTAATATCCACATCACCCAGCAACAAAACCACATCAAACAAACCATAAACACAGTAAACATCTGATCGGCTCGACTAAGGACACAGGCTGTGAGTGAGGTCTGACGCTGATCCCTCACTACACATTCATGGTGCACGGCCTTTTAAACTGCCGGCACGCCAGCGGATTGGTCGCGCCCCATGGGTCGCGCCGGTCATGACGTCGAGCATTCCTGACGTCACAGGTATGATTGACAGCCAGATGATCCAATGATCGCGACCTAACAAAAAGAGTTTACAAACACAAGAGAAAGAACATACAAAACACACGTGGAACGTAACAAAGCATTTAAATCTAATGTTTATTCAGCTACAGCGATGATGCCCGATAGGGATTTCCTGGAATGATGTGTGTGTTATTGTACTTCATATTTGGCGTGTCTACGTGAGAGCGCCCTCTGGCGTTCAGATGAAGCAGTATTTACTACCGATCAGCCGCACTGCACTGACATAATCGCAAATCACGTTGCAGTTTCGTTGCAATTAATCATGCAGCCCTACTTTTTTACTCACTAGCCACTGTGGCTAGTGGTTTTCCAAAGTTACTAGCCACTCAGCATTTTCACTGGCCACAATTTTGACATCCATACCATGGGGAAAAACCATGGGGCCATATAGATATTTTTAATACCGTAAAACTTCAAATAGTAGCCCGGGCTTTTATTTTCCCAAATCGTCGAACTGCACCGGCTTGTATTTGAGACAGGCGTCTATATGAGACAGGCCTTTATAATTTAGTGTTGAGATGTTGTTCATTGAGTGTATAGGCCTGTCTCTAATCTCTAAAAATCTCCAAATGCTCCACGTGAAACTGCGGTCTTCCGACCTTTTACTATCGTGTCAATTGATTTTGATTAATATGCGCGAGGGAGAGAGAGCAAGACAGCGCTCGTGTTGTTTGAAGACGTGAGAGTGCGCGCGCGCGGCCGGGGCGCTCTCTCTCTCTCTCTGCTCGTAACGCGCCCTGTCAGGCGCAGCAGTCATTCTATTCTACATCACTCATCGATCAAAAAATGCTTTGGAGGGACAACAATTTGCTTTGGCGGCCGCCAAAAAGCGGACGATCTGACGGTTTTAGAGGATTAAATATAACCCGAAACTAAAAAACAGACCCGGCCTCTATTTGAGACCGGCCTTTATTTACCCAAACCTGCAGCCACACTAGGCGTGTAAAAGAGACAGGCGTCTATTTGGGACTCGGCTATTATTTGAAGTTTTACGGTATTATCCAAATTATAATTTGGCAGCAGATATATTAGGCTGCTGTCACTTTAAGACCTGGCACACAGATTCATTATACTGTTACACATGCATTTTCTTTCTCAAATGTTTACGTTCATTCAAAACAGAACTGAATGTGTTTACGTGAATAATTACCAAGACCAGCATTTTTTGACATTATTTTGTGTATATTTGACTGTTTAAGCACAATAAGCAGCAAAATAATACTCAATTTAGTACTGAGAGACGGCTTTGTGTGAGCAAAATGATGCACAATACGCGCAATCCCACACCAAAATTCAACCCCTTTAACACCAACAATATTTATCTGGAGCAAATGAAAAGAGTGAGTGAGGGGAAGGAGGTTTGTGTGTAGCTCGCTGTCGGAGAGATAAGAGAGAGAGAAAGCGCAGCTGGTATTGTGTATCTATTCTGCGGAAAATAAGTATTGGAAGCGTTTCAGATATTTCAGTATCGATATGTATTTATTTTTTATTTATTTTTGACAACACTACATTGCACTTAGTTTTATATTCCAGATGCCTTTTTAAAAGACTACAATTGAGAAATGTTATATAAAATTCGACCAGCCAAAGTGGCTAATAGGTGTGACTACGGTATGTTACAATCCACCTGCATTTAGCGGGTTGGCTGGTGTTAAAGCAACACCAAGTAACTTTTCCTCTGCGGTCGCCCTACAGGTTGGAAGCATAATTGTCCATTACTGCTGTCGTAAATAATTTAGCCTACCGCATCCTACTGTCGCACGCACACGCACGCACGCACATGCTCTCTGTATCCAGCACCGGCTTTGGAATCATGATGACAATTCAAAAGCTACCCGGCTGCTAGGTATCTTACATGTAGTTGTAGTCTACTGTCGAGTACGCTCCACCTAACGGCAATTGTAACGCTTGACGTAAGCAAGTCAAATTTGTAGTTTTCTTATTTCTCATTCGGACTACAGAAACGTGACCCGATCTGGCAATCTTACATAGCGTGGATATATCAGATAAAGGACCGCACAGCGGTGGCATAAGTGCATTTCACCATGTCACGACTTGATGAACCACTGAAACGATTTTGAAAACATTATTTTAAGGTAAAAAAATCTTACTTAGTGTTGCTTTAATGTCAAGCCCTGATAGTATGATATAGGAGAATATAAAACTCACACTCAAGGAAGGAAGAAAAAAAATACACAGAGGTCCAAACTGAGCAAAACTGAGCAAAAATAGGAGATTTGGTGTGGTTACCGAATACCGATATTCATATTGCCAAAAATAAGATTAAATTCTGATCGCTTGTAATGTAAAACAATGAGATCTGTATAGCAGTATAGCAGACAACATAAAATGCATAGACATATCAGTTGTCACTCTATTTCTCCAAGAATTTGTCTTAGTAAGATGATATTTAAATGCTTAGTGTTATGATTTAAAGCTATGTAGTTTTTATTGTGGGGTGCAAACATGTAATGCAATGCAATGCAATACCATGATGATTTAGAGATGTACAAACAAACGTTCCTCAAAAGCTTGATCTTTCATAATTGATACTCGCATTTTACATGATTTAAAAAAAAAGTATTTTATAGATAGTCAAGTAAACTTAAGTTGGATCAGATTATTGTGTACATCTTGTAATTGAACAATAAAAAAGTTATTCTTACATAAACTTTATAAATATCAGTAAAGATTTCACAGCAAAAAGACGTCTGTACCACAACCTGAAGTGGGTCATTTTAAAATTATACTAAAAGGCTTTTAACTTGCTAAAAATGATAAACTACCACATCAGACAACAGAAGGCATGTAGTAGATTGTGGTCAATACATTTTCAGCAGTTTTGATCATGTTGATAATTTATAGGCCATAGAAATTTCCGTATCAAATATGATACAGTAGACTAAAAGTAGCATTTTTCCTAGGATTATTTTAGATTACCCTAGTGAAAAAAAAGTATGCTAAGTATACTTGCAGCCAGACTAATTGTCAGTATACTTCAAGTGTGTTAATGATTAGTTAACTTGAAGTGTGCTATTTTGGATACATTTTTTTTGTACTAAGTGTATTTTAGTTATAATTAAATTATACTAAAGTGTAACTTTAAGTGTATTTAGTGTACTTTTTGATGCTAAATTGAGACAATTTCAAGTATACTTAGTACACTTTAAGTACATGTGTATTTTCATGCTTAAAGTGTACTTTATTTGTGTTACAAGTACATTACAAAATCATTATGAGTGTCTTCGAAACATATTTGTACTATATTTTAATATACTAAATTATGCTAAAATGGAACCACTTCCAGTACATTTAAGTGTATTTCTTTGCAGTTCATTAAAAATATACTTTCATATGTCTTAAACTAGTTATAATATATGTGAAGCATAATTTTAATGTACTTCAAGAACATTTAAATAGCATTAAAAGTGTATTAGCATTACACTAATAGCTTATTATAAAGCTGTTTTATTCAGTATTAAAAATGGTATATTAAAAGTGCAAAAATAATTAAATATAAACATTAAGACATGCACAGACTTTGAAAATCAAGAAAACTTTAATATAGTATCTTGTGTAAATTACATAAGAGTAAAAAAAGAAATAAAAGTAAATTAAAAAGATCAGTGAAATGCTATGGCAGAGCTATTTATAATTTTTTTGTAGAACATTTCAGTTATACATGTATTACTGAAAAGTACACTATGAATTTTACATCACTAAATAAGCATCACAATGCAATTTTCTGAAAAAAAAAAAAAAAAGTTTCAGAAAAATAATGTGCAGAAGTGAATAATGCATTATTTACAAACTTAGGCCTACAAATGGCTGAACCAAAGAAACAGAAGAGTTTGAATGTCACATCTTCATCTTCAAGTAGACGATCACTTCTCTGAGTTCGACTCATTTTCTGCAACTGGGGCTTGTAGTATTTGAAGACTGCTTTATCAGAGGATCTTTGAAAGGGAAGAAGAATTAATATAAAATTAACCAATGATTAACATTTTTGTATCCATGTTTCAATATATGTATAATAATTTGCATAGAAATGCATTAGAATTCTGTTGACTTCTCAGTTTACCTTTAAAAGCTTTGGCTATATCCTCCTCAGCAAGCTTTATCCTCTTGTCTGTCGTCACTGTACAGCACTCTATGAGTTACATTGAACATGAGATTAGAAGAAGCCCAACACAATTTACAGTGAGCAAAGTTCAATCAAAAAGTTACAGATATAGTTATTTGCAGCAATAAAGCGACCTGTGAGTATTAGAGGATATGTTTTATATTGATAATTGTGGTTTATTTAAAACCTAGGGTATTTCCCATGAACCTGTCTATTGTAAAGAAAGATCTAAAGATTTAAGGAAATTAGAAGTTGTTAAAAATATTGTATGCAAGGACAACTAGGACAAGTGACTTACAGCTTTACTAAAAAACACAATTAAATAAACAGATTTTTACATGAATGACTCAAAGGCAGCACAAATTAGACACCTGAAATGGACACGCGTCGCTAACATTTTCCTAACTGTCGACCACCGCTCAATAGGCCGGATTCAAACATCTCTATAATAGAGGTGATATGAGATCAAACCATACTTACTACTCTCTTCTTCGCTTGTCTCTGCTCTCAGATTTCAGTTTTTCTTCTATAGCAGCTGGTCTGAAAAACAACAAATACTAATATGAAAAAAAAAAAAAATTATATATGCATACATATGGCAATAATGTTGTCAAGCTTGAACTACTATAAACACCAATCAACACACTCTTACCATAATTGTCTGGTCAGCTTAAAACAAAGTAACTTTGTTCATAACATGTATTTTTTCCCCAAACTTTTCAAAGAAAGATCATTTACATAATGAAGCCACATTTTTCAGGAAATCAGAAATAAACACACAGCTTCATTTTGCAAATAAAAATAATGTTAATGCAATGTTGTACATGTTATAATGACTAATTATGTTTTTTGCAGATGCATTGGACAATGTTTTATATTTGTTTTAAGACAAACAAATGTCTCCACATAGATTTATTAAGATTAAAAAACTAAACAGTGAGCTTTTTATTTATGCAAACAGCAACTAAAACTTACCAGTAACTTCTGAGGCAGTATCTTCATCTCTTCGAGTCTGCTTTGACGTGAAAAGCTTGGCTCTGATTGGTCAAATTGAATGTAGCTGAACTGAAAAAGACGTGCTGTTACACTTTGTGTCAAAAATACGACTGGCAAAGACAAGTAACGTTAATGTAATACAAATCTTACCTAGAAGAATCACAACATAATGAGGTTCCAAATGTCACACGCCATGCAAACTTGAAGAAGCTGGGTAAAATCACGTTTGTCATAACGCTACGTTTCAAAAAGTTAATCACAAAAAATACCACCTAATCCATATGAATCGCGTGGTTTCCTCCTACTCCTCTAAAGAGACACGATCGCTCTATATATTTTTAACAGTTTAAATTTAGACTTCTAAATCTAATCACATTCAAGTAACATACACGCACAGCATATTATCTGATAAACGGAAGCTCTGAGTGAGGTGCGAACGAGCTCATTATCATAAGAACCAATCACAACCACTTAACGGCTCTGGAACCAATCAGGACTAGTCACGTGTATTATGCTATTGTTTGAATTTAACTAAGTACAAACTTTTTTTAACTTCTCTGGAAAATGTATCTATGATCAATTTCAAATAATATGATGTTGAAATTCTTGTGGGAATTTTAGTAGTACAAACGTAGCATGCAGTGGACAACAGCCTTTTACAAGTAGCCTAAAACAAGTAAAAGTGAACAACATTAATTAGGTATGCTTATTGCAATGCTTAATAATAGTTGACAAATGTTTCTAATACATTATAAGTTGGTACATTGTAAATATATATATTTTTAAATATTAAAATGATAAATACATACATATTTAAAATATATTGCAGTTAGGCCTAAGTGTTTATAAAGTTCATATATTTTAAACACACTAAAAGCTTAATCATTTTGCTATGTTCTTACACAAAGTACTCCAAAAATGTATTGTAAGTAAGAGCAACATAAGTATGTTTTCTTTAAATGCACTAAAACTTGACTAAAAGTATTCTTGTGTTTAGCATATTTCTTAAAAATGCAACTAAGCATATTATTATTACCAAAGTATACTTATCGTGCACTTTTTAGAAATATGTTAAAATTATGCTTGTTTTTAGCATATTTTTAAAAGTATAATTAAACATGTATTTATTACCAATGCACTTCTAGTGCACTTGTTAGAAATATATTAAAAGTATACTTGTGTTTAGCATATTTCTTAAAAGTGTAACAAAGCATATATTTTTATCCAATGTACTTATAGTGGACTTTTTAGAAATATGTTAAAAGTATGCTTGTTTTTCAATATACTTTTAGAAAATATACTAAAGTACAATTATTTTAAAGTGTGTTAAAAGTTGTATTGTAAAAATAGGTAAAAAGGATGATGCTAATATACTTTTAATATATTTAAAGATAGTACACTTTTTGTTAGTATATTTGCAATGTACTATTGAAAAAGGGAATATATTTCAAATATAATAAAGTATACTTTTTTTCCACTTGGGTAATGCCACGGATATGTTGCGATACAAACTTAATATCAGAATCTCTTCAATTTTATTGGTTATTTTTGTTTCCTGAACAGTACTAGTCTCAGTCTATGTGATCTCATTGCTCTCCTCAGTGACCACTGTGTGACTCCACTGACCCCACTTGGCACTGTGTTTTTGTTTCAGGTGCTGGTTTTGCGAGAGCTCGCCGTTAGCGCACCTACATTCTTCTTCCAGCAGGTGCAACCGTTCTTTGATAACATTTTCTATGCTGTGTGGGACTCCAAACAGGCCATTCGTGAGGGTGCAGTATCTGCACTCAGAGCCTGTCTGATCCTCACCACACAGAGAGAGACCAAAGAGATGCAGAAACCACAGTGGTACAAGGTCAGAATCAACACAGCTTTACCTGTTTACAAATATGTTTGCATGAATGCTATGGGTATATGGGCACTCACACATTCTATGTGTTTTGTTGTCATTAACAGCAAACATTTGAGGAAGCCGAGAAGGGTTTTGATGAAACTCTGGCTAAAGAGAAAGGCATGAATAAGGATGACCGTGTGCATGGAGCTCTACTCATTCTCAATGAACTAGTGCGAATAAGCAGTATGGAGGGAGAGGTATGACATTGAACATGCTACGGGCAGCATGACACATGATTACCTCACGTTACACTGCCTTACTAAAGCTTTTTTACTGTTTCTTTTATTTTCTTTGTTCTATTTTATTGGTTCTTTTTCTTATTGTTTTGCTTATTTTTATTGTAAATTTGTTAATTTCTTATTTTTCTTTGTTCTATTTGGTTCTTTCGTTTGTTCTTTCTCTTGTTTTTTGCCTTTTACTTTTTCTTTGTTCTTTCTTTCGTGCTACTTTGTTATCTTTGTTATCTTTTGCCATCTTCAGTCGTTCATTTGGTTGATCTTGTTTTCCTTTTGCATGTTCGTTTCTGTTTGTTTATTTAACTTTTGTTTCACAATTTTTGCTTGCTTTGTTTATTTTTGTTTCTTTGTATTTTTCTTTTTGTTTGATCTTTCACTCATTTGGCATTATTCATTGCTTCAATATTTTCACTTATTTGATTAATGATTTTGGTTCTTTTATTCCTGAAGCGTATGAGAGAAGAGATGGAGGAGATCACGCAGCAGCAGATGGTTCATGATAAGTACTGTAAGGAGTTGATGGGTTTCAGCACTAAGCCTCGGCACATCACACCCTTCACCAGCTTTCAGTCAGTGCAGCCACAGCAGTCCAATGCTCTGCTGGGGCTGCTGGGATATAGCACACCACAGGGCTTTCTAAGTTTTGGAGCTGCACCTGTTCCCTCTAAAAGCACGCTGGTGGAGAGCCGGTACTGCAGAGAACTGATGGAGGAGCGTTTTGACCAGGTGATTGTATTTATTACTGTAGTGAAGAGGAAATTAATGTTTTGGAAGAGACTGTAGCATTTTTATCTGTTTTCTTTCTTTTTGAGTCAGTCTACCATTTAGGGTACGTTGTATGTGCATTGAAGAAAATATATATTTTTTAGGGCTGTTAACGCATGCGATTAATTTTTTCCCAGTTTAACGCGTTAAAATATTTAACGCAATTAACGCAGCATCCATTAATTTTTGTCATCCTTTGGGTAGCGTTGCATTATTTGATCCCACTCTTATTCATGCAAATGCTTTTAAACCATTCAAGCGCGACAAGACAAAAGAGAACGCGCTGCCTGTGAATGTCCTGTTTGTGACACACAAGACGCACAGAAAGACACGCGCCAGTATCGTGCGCACAGACTCTTTCACCCTTGAACGAACAATAACACACACAATTATGCCAAAATATCAGTTTTGACTTTCTGTCAGTAAAGTTATTCAAAGAACAAAGGGAACAGAGAAACTTAATCACTGCTCTTGACTAAATAACTTTTGTAGCTTTAATCAGAGGTGAACTCTTGAGAAAAATTTCAAACAAACTGAAACGGTAAACTTTCGAGGCTATATATACACTCACCTAAAGGATTATTAGGAACACCTGTTCAATTTCTCATTAATGCAATTATCTAATCAACCAATCACATGGCAGTTGCTTCAATGCATTTAGGGGTGTGGTCCTGGTCAAGACAATCTCCTGAACTCAAAACTGAATGTCAGAATGGGAAAGAAAGGTGATTTAAGCAATTTTGAGCGTGGTGTGGTTGTTGGTGCCAGACGGGCCGGTCTGAGTATTTCACAATCTGCTCAGTTACTGGGATTTTCACGCACAACCATTTCTAGGGTTTACAAAGAATGGTGTGAAAAGGGAAAAACATCCAGTATGCGGCAGTCCTGTGGGCGAAAATGCCTTGTTGATGCTAGAGGTCAGAGGAGAATGGGCCGACTGATTCAAGCTGATAGAAGAGCAACTTTGACTGAAATAACCACTCGTTACAACCGAGGTATGCAGCAAAGCATTTGTGAAGCCACAACACGCACAACCTTGAGGCTGATGGGCTACAACAGCAGAAGACCCCACCGGGTACCACTCATCTCCACTACAAATAGGAAAAAGAGGCTACAATTTGCAAGAGCTCACCAAAATTGGACAGTTGAAGACTGGAAAAATGTTGCCTGGTCTGATGAGTCTCGATTTCTGTTGAGACATTCAGATGGTAGAGTCAGAATTTGGCGTAAACAGAATGAGAACATGGATCCATCATGCCTTGTTACC